CTTAAAGGTAATTCATTTTTTTTTTTTTTTTTTTAACAAAATACTGCGGTATTATAAAAAATGTTTAGTCTCAGAATCTTGCCGAATAAATTTTATTACTTATTCATCGAACTGTTTCATTCATTATTGTTCTTCTGGCTGTCTAAAAATAAATAAAAGTAGCACACCTTATTAAAGATTTGCAAACAATTTTAAAATATTAACAAAACTATTTTCTATTGTGTTCATCAAATCTATTTACTGATGAAATTTCAACATTAAGTTAATAGCAGTAGACGGACGGCTTTTTTTGCCGTAAATAGGATGTTAATGATTTCTTAGGAGTTTTAAAATACACAAGTTATGTTAAAATCCTTGAAAGTTATTTTAGTATTATAAAATTATGGAATTGCCTTGCTAACAAGAAGTATCAAAGTAACAATATTTATTTTGATGTATCCGAAAAAAAATGTTGACGACATACATACATATATATATATAAATATACACACACACACGTATGTATAACGAAACATAAATACAAGAAATGAAACTAAAATGATAAATTTAGTAAAAAAAAAAAAAAAAAAAAATCTACCATGAAGTGGATTTGAACCCTTAAGTGCAAAACAATCTCCGAAGGGGCATAAGCCTTATCCAATTTAGCTATCCGAAGAGCATGTTACATTCCTTTCAAAGTCACATATGTTCATGGATATCCTCCGGAGCTTGTCCTACAGTTTACAGCATTTAGGATGTGTAAAATTAATAAATGAGTGGTTAAAGCTGTACTGAAAACTTGAAAAATTGTTGAAGCTACATATTTTTTTAAAACAAATGGATTTAAAAATGTTAGGAGTACGGGAGAGTTAAAAAATAATGTATTGAAATCAAAAGTCTGTGTACATAATTAATGAGCATTTAGTTCCACGATTTAATTCAATAAGATTTATAGATAACATTGAAGCCAGAACGAGAGCAAGTCAGTTAAATATATACATAGCATGTACTCGGTAGCAGAGTAAAAGACTTTCAAAAGAGAAAAACTCGTGTCGTCGCTTTCTTTGGCTGTGCGCTCAGCTATATATAGCTATATAGCCAACATTTCCACTCCTCTCCTCGTAGGCGCACATTCGGTATTCCCCTTCCACGCGTCTCCAAAATGTGCGCTTATGTGGACATTTCCACGCGAATCCACTCCTCTCATACCCCTACCGTGTTTCTCAAATAAAAAAAAAAATGTGCACCGGGTTCGGCCGCTTGGCCGCGGCGGGGCGCTTGAACCACTGGAAAAAAGTGGGCACACTCCGTAGCATGGCAGTCGGCAATCTCCCTACTAATCTCTGGCAGAGGGTACTGTACAGTGTGTGTGTGTACTACGTGATGTCATCATCCAGCACTTTAAGGACGTTGCCCTGGATCTTTTCGTCTTGACCAGGTACCTGTATTATCGACGTAGAATCGAAACTTGGCAACACCGCCAGCTGTTGTTAAGTATACTTATATGTGGGGTAAGAGAATATATACTAGATACAGCTGATCGCTGGTTATTATTAGGTATTAGTATTCAAGTTAAGTGTCATGCCTCCCGAAAGATACCATTGGATAGGAAAATATGTGTCTAAAAAGGTTAACGAACACATGTTGCGGCGATCAGAAAACGGTAGTAACATTTTTACCTTTGAAAGGTGTACTTTCAAAAGAAATGATGCAAAGATTGGCCGAGTCAAATTTCAGTTATCAAAATTTAATCGATGCCTATAAAAATGGCCCAGAATGTGCGACTCACCTTTTAGAAGGCAGAGTAAATGGATCAGCAATAATTATTAAAAAAAGACTGATTCTCGATAATATTCTCAATCACTTACTGTCAGTCACAAAAGTAAAAAATTAGATTATTACTGAAGTTATTTCATTACATGCGTAATTTTGAATGTGATATTAGAGTTGTGTAAACATGTTGAGAAATAAAAGTGTTTGTCGCATTGGCACTGATGCAAGTAATGTTATGTAAAATTTATAAATAGATTTTTACAAAAAATCGATACTTTAATTTATACATATTCCAACATACTCCCATGATGAAAACATTTGTATTTGTCAATTAATAATTTTTTATATTGTTTATTACCTTCTTTAATAACTTGCTGTGGATTCAGTATCGCACATGAGGTACATTTGACTGTGCCGCCAATGTCCCGCTCTCTCCTTCGTTTTCTCTAAGATACGGTGTTGCCACGTTAACCTTCAAACATCTTTTTTCGTTACTATTTTTATTGATATCTTATTAAAAAGCATTATAACATGGCTCTAAACTTTGAGGGTGGAATCATAAAATATTTTTTGAATTATTAACAAAATATTTCTCACAGGTTTTATAAGGTTATTTTAATCGCTGTCCCATAAGAACAGTGTTAAACTGCTTATCATAGATCGCATATTTCTCTTTTTTTAGTATTACAAGGTATGCCCAAAAAACGTGTGCGAGTTCAGAATGGTTTAATCCATCATACTTTCAAGTTTCGTCAAGTTCTGTAATCATTTTCATAAACAGGGCAACGTCCTTAACCAGAATGGACCCATAATGAACATAAAACTGTGGACACAATGGATCCAGACTTTATCCATTATATTAATCATGGATCAATATAATGGATAATGGATCCAGGCTTGATTAATAAAATGGATAAAGTCTGGATCCAATCATCCATTTCCTTCAACACCTCTCTTTAACATCTTTCTATTAGGGTTATTTCACTCAAAATAACGCCTCTGCTATTAAATAAATAAAATCGAGAAAAATGAATTTCGAAAACTGATTTAATAAATTGAAAAAAAGGTTATCAAGAGTGAATTTACCAATAAATCAGACAATTCATTTTACTCAACGGTACCACCTGACATGAGCACGAAGCGAACATGGAGATATTAAATTTATTTCAACGGTCAGTACTATATTCTGCTAATTGCAATGCTGTCTTTGATTTTTTTTTTTTTTACGCCAGCTCCTATACAGAAACTTATATTAAATCTTCTACGCTATTCACGACTTGGTACTCAATCTGGTATCGAATACCTGATCTAACGCTTTTTTTATTTTTCTCACTAGGTCATTGTCAGGCTGCAAAACCTTTTCAACCTCACTTGTATCATCTTGAAGTGGTTTTTCATGCTCAAATGTGTAGATACCTGATTGCAAAACAGTAAAGTGACTATGTTACCTACTATGTACCAAAACTACTTTACTCACTCTGAGCAGGCAAGAAAAGTTGAACTTTGCACACTGACTGTAAAACAATAAAAAAATGCATATTTCACGCATACTATTGCACGGGTAGTTGTTTAGAAACAAATAATTACAACAGGCCTTAACTCCACAAAATTTCTTATCAAAGTGAAATGTGCTCCAATTATCATAGATAATTAGTATATACCTTCTATTGTCTTACATCCGAATGGAAAAAAAATTAAAACTCTTTTACCTTTAGAACTGTTGTTCCTGGAGGGACTTGGACTGGTTTATCATCAATAAAGATTTCTATAAGTTCTGTCACAGGTTGGACTAGCTGTTGTTTACAAAGAGTTGTATGAATGCGAACCATTCCTTGCTTCAAATATAAACTTTTTTTTAGCTGTACTAATAAATATTTCGTTGTCTGAATCATCTGCATTGTCTGTAGAAATGACAAATAATTTATCGTTAAGTAGTTATTCTGGAATAGGACTTACATCTCTATACTTCTACAGCAAAGACATTCTTCAGTTACGTAATAATTTAATTTTAAAGTACTAATTTAAGCTATAAATCATTTAAAGAAAAAAAAATTGATGATTTTCAACCAATGATTATTATAAAATTAAATTTTAAAAAGTAATAAACTTCAACTTTTATATTTAAATTTACAAAAACAGAAAAATTAAGAGACATCTAGTAGGTTGTATTACAAGCCAGTATTAAAGTCATATAAAAAATTGAAATAATATCCTATCCACATGCAATACAATTCATCACGAATTCAAGCTGGTTAAACTAATTTTTAATTCAAAAAAATACATGTCAGCAAAATATATGATTGCAAAAATAACCATATTAATTACACTGATCTACATACATCAACTTTATATGTGAAACAATGATCTATGCAAGATTAATAATGGATTTGTCTAAGATGTCGAGATTTAATTGTTTAAAAAAAATTGTTTTATTAAGGCCTATGACGATTAAGTAACATGTACCTATCCGCCTTACGAGCATAGAGCACAGTGTAAGATATACAGATGGTCTTACTGTCTATATTCTATTCGCTCCGTGCATCAGATTGGAGGGGATAAAAAAACGACTGCAGCGCTGTAGGTGAGCAAAGTTGGCGAACCCGTACCCCCATGAATCGTACAGTAAGCGTTGTCTCAAATGAGAAAATATATTATTTCATTTAAAGTAATTAGTTGAGAAATCGAAGGCGGAAAAAAAAATGTTAATTAGCCAAACCATGTCTATAATACGGATAAATAATTTTGCTAAGCACTTCAAATCGCCCGAAATTTTAAATAATGGGTTAATAAATATCATCTGTCATATAGTATACAACACACATACTTATCTGTAATGTTGTATACGTGAGAGCAAGAACTCCAAGCAGTCGACATAGGCTGCCGCTAGCTGTATAATCTGAATCAGTGTTTACGTTTACAAAGTAACGAAATGCGTACGAGACAGTATCACATTTATGTATATGTTAGCATAACCTACATTTGTCAAGCATAGACAATAATGTACTTACAGATAATTCTACTTTGTATGGATTTAAGCTGACAGATGTTTGTCTCACAACATAGCAATTGATCAGATGACCGACTCCTTTATTTACATATTCCTGTACGTAGGCAACGTGCCCACTCTCTACTAATTTTTTAGCTTTTTTCAGCGTTTCATTATTAAAAACTATGTTGCAACTTATACTTTTAAAGCCTGTTTGGATAATCATATCCATTTTTTAGGGTGCTGATGTTTACGCGATAGCAGTATGTACGTCTTATTCAATAAATAATACTTTCTCCTATAAGCGACAGTGTTACGATTTAATCATACGGGGGTACGGTATTGCGCGATTCTGACACCGAGGGCGGCGCTGCGTGTCATGCACGGAGCGAATATTGTCTGTACAGTAAATTTATGTGAACATTTTGTGTCACTACCGCTTTCTCCCAGGTGTCGCCTAAAAAACGAATACTATAGGGACTCCCCCCTACCACATAGCTCAGTGTAGGCTATAATCACGAGTCTAGCAGAGGAGAGAGAGAGAGTGGGTTACACACTTGTAGTCAGTCTAACTGCGCCTACCGACTTGAACAGTCGGACCACAGTTCAATAAACGAGAGTACAGTACACGCAATAACGTCTATTTCTTTTGCCCAGGTTATCTCTCCCTTCCTCTCGAGCACGCTTGCCCTACAATACCGTCGTAACCTTCGAGGGAGTGAGGAGACAATGTTTGCCATTTGAGGCTCATGGGGAAAGGCGTCAGATTGAAAACGCATCATTTAGCATATATATACGGCATGGTGAATATAAAAATGGATGGATATATACATATATACAAGTATATGACTGAAGTCCCCATAAGCCTCAAATAGCGGTCAATCAATCACGAGCAGTCCCAAGATTGTCCGCTCACTCCCTCGAAGCTCACTGGAACACCGAGCAAACGTAGAAGTAACTATATATAGTAACGCGCGATGGCTCCGTCGGCTAGGTCGTGGATTGGCACGCGGGAGACCGTGGTTCGATTCCCGGCCAGTGCGACTTTTCGGGCTAGTACCTCTGTGAATTTTTACATGTGCTTTTTCATCACGCAATGCTCCTCAAGGAGGGTTTTTAGCGACCTTCTCGCAGCAAAATTGCCTAATTCCGCCTTCCCCCCTTCCAGTAATGGGAGGCCTCCCCATCCCTTTCCTTGTCCTTTTCCCAAGTGCTAAGTGCCCATTGTAATGCCCTTACTAAAGGAGCCGGACCTAGAGCACTATAATGTAAAAAAAAAAAAAAAAACTATTTATAGAGACTGACACGATGACTTGACGGGAAGAGTTATGAAGAAGTTTGCCTTGCAATCTCAAAGTAGATGGTGCCAGGATAAACTAGCTCTGTCATGGCGACTCACGGGAAAATTCAAAATATATTATTTTTAAAACAAATTTTTTTTCATTACTACTTATATTTTACGTAGAATAATTACTTAGATGAAACATCCATAAAGCTCATCTTCGCATCGATAGAGATTTCTCCGTTGATAAGGAGGATATCTCCGTTGATATGTACAAATGAGCTTTATGGATGTTTCATTTAAGTAATTATTCTGCGTAAAATATAAGCGGTAAATATTTTATATAGTTTAATAAATTAGTTATTGTTATTTAATGCGATGTAATATATTTTTTGACAGTCGTTCTTGAAAAAAAATTTGTTTTGAAAATAATATATTTTGAATTTTCCCGCGAGTCGCCATGGCAGAGTTGGTTTACCCTGGCGCTATCTACTTTGAGCTTGCAAGGCAAACTTCCTCACAGTCCCGTCGATCACCGAGGTTAAGCAGCATTTGGCGCAGTTAGTACTTGGATGGGTGACCGTTCAACTCGTTCAAGTCTCGCCGTTTCACCTCTGCTATTTGCTTCGTGGATTGATTGACTGTTTCTCTGTCCCTGTGACATCGTGAGCGGGAGGTGTGCCAAATTTCTGCCTCGTTGGTTAAGTCTGCAGCTTGAACATCAGGTCAGAAATGAGGCAGATACACCGGGCTGTTTCAGATCAGGTTTTTCCTACGGGAGATTTCTTGGGGTTTTCCTGATTCACATGACAAACGTTATAGGCAAATGTGGAGCAGTTATTAGAGCGCTCCCGCCGCTCCCCCCTTTCAATCTCACCATAATTCCTTCCCAATCCCAAGTGCTAAGTGCCCTGAGTGGTGCCTAGTGAGCTTCGAGGGAGTGAGAAGACACCGTCGGGACCGCTGCTGATTGGTCAGCCGCCATTTGAGGCTTATGGAGACATTAATCAAATACTTGTATACGTGTATGTATCCATATATATGTCGTGACGTATATATATGCTAAATGATGCATTTTCAAGCTCACGCCTTTCCACATGAGCCTCAAATGGTGGACATTGTCTCCTCATTCCCACGAAGATCACTAGTAGTGCCTCTACGAGATAGCCGAATGTAAAGCACTATAATATAAAAAAAAAACTATATATAGTGGTGTTCACTAACACTGGTAGTTATAAATATTTGACTCTTATTCGCCGTCTGCTGGAACTTGAGGAGCGAAAAAAAAATTTTTCATGACAGTCCCTAAAAAATTATGTTTTCATTATGTTAACAGAATATTAAAATTTAAAGAATCATAGCATCACAGTTTTTGAAATAAAAAATAGCAAAATTAGGATTTTATACACAGGCTCTTGTGCAAACGTCGTTGGGAAACTTGCATTTTCACCAATAACTTGAGAAATATTTTTACAAATCTTTCAAAAAATTAGTTTGTTATTGTAAATAATAATTAGAATAACATATCCAAATTTTAAGAAGCCTGTCGTCATGGTTTGAAAAATACTTCAATTAAAAATGTGAACAAAATGCTATTGGTATATCTATACACAGCAGGAAAGAAATAAAACGTTACGCATACATTCAACTTTAAAGTGTTAATTTTTTATTTTCCCACTTATTAGTAATCTTTTACTGGGCGATATCAAATAGCTCGTACGATTCATCACTAATAATGTTAAAAATTACTAACTTTCAATCCAAACAACTTTTGAGGTCAACTGTACCACTCTAACCCCCTTAAATGAAAGAGCACAAGTACTTCACAAAAATTATGCCTACATGGGAGATGGGACCACCTGTATATCTTACACCATAGCTTAGAGGTACTGGGTACGTGTTTTATGTTATTGAGATCCATTATGTAAAAATACAAGGTGTGGCGTTCCAAGGTCTCATCTTCGTGCCGTTCTGCGCCTTCCACCAAGACGCTATATTTGAGGGAGCTACAGCGCCAAAGAGCCTATACAGTGAAACGAAGTGGCCAAAGTTAAAACTAAAACCTATCCCCTGCATCCACCTCGAAGTGAGACATATATATAGATATAGACATATGATTGAATGTACATGTACGTCAATACGTGTACTAGTATTTAGTCAGTTTTTTCTGTGTAAATATTAATGAATTGAGCGTGTGATTACTGAAACAACTGGAATAAAAATATTGAAATAAAAAATTTAAGTTGTTTTATGAGTTTCTTGATGTTAATATGCTTTATATTGAAAAAGCTTTTGAAATTCTCAGACAGACATGACGGTGCGATGGAAGCGTTTCTAATTGGTCAATCAAAATGGATGCGCAACGCAACACCTTATATAGTTAGAGCAATGATGCGTAATTATAACATCAGCAAAATAACCGGATGACACTTAGTAACATTACAGCAGAAGCAATTTCCAACCTTTCGTCCGTTTGAACTAATGCTCCCCATTTATTGAGAACCGAGATATGGGGCGATGAAATGATAAAAAAATTTTTTTTTAAATAATTCCGTGTTTTAAATCAGCCGGTTCGTTTCGGCTGGCAAAAATTTTGTGATATACGTTAGGTGTAACCTTTTTGTTAACCGTAGTTAGACATTTGTTTGGTTCGTGATTTTTATTATCACCCCATATCTCGGCTCTCGATGAATGGGGATTATTAGTTTAATTATTTGCTCAAACGGTTACGCGGTACGCGTTACGCTCTCCATGTGACCGCGGAGTTAGTACACCAAGAGCTGAGGCCAAAGGATGGTCAAAATTGTAACCAGCTGCCACTTTTACCAGAATTGAGGAACCTCATGATTCGTAGGGATCCGGAATATTTTGGTCATATTTCATAGTGATAAAGAGTTATAAGGTAATTATAGTTGTGCCATATAATTTTTTCAATAACCAGCCGCAACTTATACTAGTAGATAGAAAATAAAAAGTTTTTATTAATAATACCATTTGCTGCAAGACTTAATTGCATCTTGTACCCAAAAATTGACCTCCAAAAATATAGATATTGTATTCTTATCTATTTTGTTATCTACAATACATCATCTACTATCTTAGATGAGTATTATAGCTACAATCGGGTAGAGAGTCTATTTTTCTGAAGGTCAATTTTTTAGTACAAGATACATTCTAATCTTGCCACCAATGGCACTCTCGTAGA